TCACAAATGGAAAGAATCACAAATATACAATATTATAATATGTACTGTTTTCTATTTTAAAGCATTTCATCATTTTTAGTATGACTTCATGTATTTGATTTATAAATAAAACCAAAACATTAATATACTTTATAGAGTCCAGTAAGAATGATTTTTTTTTTAAAAAAAAATGATGTCTTCCTAAAATGCTATCTTTAAGTGAATGTGTAGCTCATGTATGAAATACCTTTCTCTGGCACTTTTATTTTCCATTTTAGTGAGATATTCAGAAGACGAACTGCTGGATGGGTTTTTTGAACAATTTGAAAAAAAATCAATGATATTGTTATTTAGAAAAACAAAAAAGTATAATTAAAAGTTCTGCTAAAGAAAATAAATAGGTTACCTGAACAGTATAGTTAGAAAGATAATGATTATCTAATTTTTGAAGACCTTATTTATGTGTGGTTGGTGAAATATTTGCAATAGGAAGACTCTTTGCAGATCTAGGAAAATAAATCAGGCAAAATGAAATGGGGGTGGGGAGAACAAAAGTTATAATGACAAAATTGTATTTCCCAAAATATACTCAAGGGATGATAAATGTGAACAAAGAAAAAAAAATAGGCTGTGACTATCAAAATCTCTCCTGGTAAACTTCAATGCAGAACTTATTATTAACAAAATCATTTTTCATTTCAGTAGACCCTGATAGCTTTGATGATTCGTTATAAGAATCTCTGGTATAAACCTGGGTCACCCTCATTACTGGTCTACAACTTAAAGCATTTCTCTGAACGTGAATCTGGATAGCAAGTGAGTTCAGCTTTGCTTGCAAGAACAAGGAATCTGAAATCATTGCTGTAAAAACCTAGCATCGAGAATAAAACGTTCTCACTAGTTGTGACATTTGAAAATAGTATAAAAGATCATACTAGGCTACATATAACCTACAGTTCTATTTAATATTGAATTTAAATCACTTTAACATACATCTATCATAGCAGGTAAAAAAACCTTCCAGTAACTTAGATTAATACTTTCTTTGCTGATGAGATGTTAAAGTGAAACTTTCTGTACAGTTATATACCTAAGGCATCTACTAGGAACTGTCTGGATGCACTGAATTTTCAGTGACTTTCAGAACTACATGGATATTTATTTGGTCCTGAGGCTTGCTTCAGAAGTATTTTGATTTGCTCACATATCTTGAAAACCACATTTGAAGGTTTTCCATGGGTGGGGTGGTTAATAAAATCAGTTTGGGAAAAGCAGAGAGAAATGCTACAGTTAGATTATAGAATATTTCCTGAGAGTAAATTGCATAATACTGCTTCAGTTTTCCTTTAATGTTTTCCTGAGAAGTAGAATTTAGCAACAGTCATTATTGAAGTTAACTGAGCATTTATTTTCTACAATCCTTTATTCTTTGCTTGTAAATTAATGTTAGTTAAAATAATAAAGAATTCCGTCAGCTCTTTAAAATCAAAAGGACAATTAGGTTTTTTTTTTTAAAAAAATGAGATTGTAAAAAATAATACACTCAGTTAAAATAAACTATTAAGATTATATAGGCCAGTGGTGGCAAACCTATGGCATGCGTGCCAGAGGCAGCATGCAGAGCCCTCTCTGTGAGCACACGAGTCATCACCCAGCTCCGCCTTTCCCCGTGGACCCTTCTCACCAGCAGCGCTCCTGGAGGAGAGTTGCCCCGGGCATGGCCTGGGCAGAGCAGTGCAGCCAAGGATATGGCAGCCAGACAGCAGGAACAAGACTCAGCCCTCGCGCCCCATTGTGCGCAGATGATGATGCGGGGTGCAGGCGGAGGGCATGGCTGCCATGGTGCTGCAGGGCTGCTTGGGTGATGTGCTGCAGCGGGCTGTGGAAGCTGTAGGCCCTGCAGGTGGGTGGGGGGCAGAGCGGAGGCAGGGTGGATGGAACGGGTGGGGTGGAGTGGGCGGGACAGGTGCGGGCAGGGTTTTTTTGGGGCACTCTGTGTCTAAAAGATTTGCCATCACTGATATAGGCATTCCTTTGTTTCTTGCAAAACTATTCCTAAAACATATGATTTCATGGAGGGAATATTAAAGAAGTTGAATCTGCCAGGCAACTAAAATGTCAACAATGTCTACTCTGCTTTAAATAATTTATTTGGTGTCTTATTCCTTATGGCAATTTGGTAGTGGGTTGTGTATACTATGGAAATAATAAACTTCTAAATATGCTATCATACATTTTGTAACATATATGTTTATCTACCAATCCTCACCTATGTGTGTAGATTGCATATCCATTATGTTATTCTCTTTCAGAAAAAAACAACATTATGCACAGCGCAGATAAAAAAAGTAGAAAAGAAAAGTAAAATCACAACATGCTATTTGATGCAGTGTCTATAAAGTAGTTAGTTTTGATTCTCCTTCCTGAATCATGTTAATATACTAATATATACTAATATAGAATAAATATATATTTAGAATATATATTTATATTTTAGAATCATTTTCCCCATCCTTGAGGAGTCAGCCTAAGTGTAAACTCTTGGAGCATGTCGTAAACTTATTCTGACCAAAATAAGATGGGTGGTCCTTTGAAAGCATCTGCAAAATTATATATTTTTATATAGAAATAAATTATGGAGGTAGAAGCAATATTTGCTCATGTATTCACAGATGCATCCTTTGGTGCCTACCAAGCTTCTAGTTCCTTCCAGCTATTTTTTCCCTCAAAAGCTGATGTTGCAAAATGAATCTCCAGCTTCAGTATCATCTTTATGTTCAAAAATGCATCTGGACCTAAAGTCCCATAGACATTTTTAGAAGTAGAATATTGAGTAGTGTCAGGCTTTATTTGGAAATGTTTCCATCTAACCATTTAACTCTGTAGTAGTGAACCAAGCCAGTGAGAAATATTGGGAACTGTGTTTCAGCCATAGCTGGAGGACCACAGAATTCCATTTTTGATCTATGTGCTTGATTCGAAAAATTATGTAATGGTAATTGGGCACACCACGTTTTGCTTTCTTATCAATTAATAAAAGTTAACTTGAGTCTAGGCAAGTTGCCAACAAATGCTATTTGCATTAAGATATTGGGAAGCCAAGCAATGAAAGGAATTGTCCCACTGCAGATTAATTATTAACCTATCTGTTAGTTAGCCTTTTGTGACTGCAGCCATATCAGTTAAATAACAATTGGGTTAATCAAGATAGCTACCCAAAGTAATTTGTTGGAATAAATATTTTATTATAATGATCATCAATACAGAAAATACTGTAATAATTCCCTTGCTATTAAAAGCTACTATAGTACTCCATTAATATATATTTAAAGATCACTCCATTTTCAGAGTTTTATATTTGCTATTGAATAGGAAGAATATTTTCAGTCATTCATCTAATTATTGATAAGTTTTCTTTATTTAAATTGCCCCAGATATTTGCAACAATTCCATGCATCGATTTAACTTTCTTAAACAATTTATTTTGTGTTTTTTAAAAGAAAATATGTTTGATTTAATGTAATTGCATGATATATGTGTTATTAATATTTGAAGAAGTTATATTGGACCTACAAAAGCAGTTATTTAAAACCTCAATCAGTGTTGACTCTGGCCATATTTAAAGATTATCCTAGATTTCTATGTGGTAGATCAAAGAGCTACTATCCATTATGGGAAATGGTTGAAAATTATGCAAGCTTAAAGAAGTGCTGATCACATTACCAGCCTTTACTATGAAGCAATGAAGCAGAGAAGGGTTTTCTTGTATGGAAAGTGGGATGCACATACTTGTGTGGACAGCTGGAATAGTCTGAGGCCATGTGAAACAGCAGAAGGCTGCCTGCCTCTTCTGGATCAAGTTGAACACATATCTTGTATGAATGCCACATTACTTTTTGGGAGATTATTTCTCTCTAGCTCTGAATTTGATTTAGTACTTTGGGTTTAAAAAAATAAGTTGGAGAGGAACAAGAGGAGAGGAGGAATCTGTGGTAGGACAGCTCTTTGGGGCCAAGAGATTATTTTTGCAATCAGAAGGATTTATTTCCCTTCCCTTCCATATCCCCACTCTAAGGATGGCAAAAGAAGTTGTGGAACAATAGTTTTCCTTCCAACTTTCTGATCCTACACAGTGGTCATTCTAGAACCAAAGGAGGCATTTTGCTCCCATGTCCTGCTTTTCCTGTCACCCATGGACTGGGGGAGGGGAATTGAAGAGATCTTTTTTCCTCCTTATTCCCCACTACTTCTCTTGACATGGAGGAGAAGAGGGGCACAAGTCTTATGCTCTCCGTTATCTCATCCCATAGGATCACTCCGTAGCATCAGAGACCTAGCAGGTCTTCTTGCATGACTGAAGAGGAGAGAAGAGGCACCAATTCTCCCAACACCAAAATATTTGTTTTCCTCTACAGTGTAGTGGTGGTGGGGAGAATGCCATTTTCCTCGTTACTTAACTGCCTGTGCTTTCACAGCAAGGGACTTCGACTAAACTACAAACGCTGCTGCCAAATGCATTTTCTGGCATACCCTTTGATGAAGCTGGCTGTGGATTCACTATGTCATTGCCAGCAATAGTAGCTCACCACTGTAGGAAGGAGTTGCGTAATTGGAATATGGCTACAGAAAAGTTTTCACCCAATCTAAATTCTATAAGTGGTAGCATCTGTAAAGAGAACTTACAATGCAATTGTATATTCTGAATGGATTTGTATGGGAATTTTTTTTTCAAATACTCTGATCCCAAAACCTTAATTTCACTGGAATTTTAGTTTGCATTATCATGAATTTGTAACCAAAATGAAATATTTAAAACTGATTATAACGCTTGAAAGTTTCTACAGTTCCAAAAAACTCAAAGGGCAGACTCAATAGACCATTGGGTCTTTTTCTGCCATCAGTTTCCTATGTTTTTATGTTTGCATATATACTAAATTTCTGAACCAGATGTAGTTTGGCACGTACATTTGAGTATTTATAGGATGAAGTAACAGTTTTTCCATTTCTTTTTTCTCTCACAGTTGATTGGCTTTGTTTATGCCTGTTATGTGATTAGTGTTTTTATGGAAGAAGAGGACAGCAGTAAATACTGATATACACCTCCCGATCTCTGGAGTCACAACTTTGGGGTGAGACATAATATTGCTCTTGGAAATGGAAAGGTATATTAAAAAAAAAGAACAACATTTTTCTCTTGGAACAAATAGCTTTCTTTTCATTCTGCCCTTATAATATGGCCAATACATATCAATAAGATTAAGTATTTTCATTATTTTTATTTGTTATTCCAATTCATGTTGTGTTAATGTTAATGATTTATTCTATTTTTAACTTTATGTGATATACATTGTTGTATTTCATTTTATTTCCTATGAAAGCTTCCTTGAAATACTGATATACATTCTAAAAGGTACTTTGAAATTGGGTCCCTAACCCCTTGACCAATAGTACTGGTCCATGGTCTGTTAGGAACCAGGCCACACAGTTGAAGGTGAGTGGCAGGTGAGAGAGTGAAACCAAAACCATCCTTCCCCCTCCCAGTCTGTGGAAAAATTGTCTTCCATGAAACCAGTCCCTGGTGCCAAAAAGGTTGTGGACTGCTACTTTAAAATATAACATAAAATATAAATATAGCAGTTCACAGCTGAAGTAATCTTGGGTGGATATAATTTACCATTAGTATTAGGCATGGTAGCTTGGTGGACAATTCTACTTTTACTGCATCAGTAATTTTTTGAAATATAATTTAATACTGGTATACATATCAAAACTATTGTACAGTTGTCCTCTATTTTCCTGTCCAATTTGTGGTGCATTTTATTGGTTCTGAAAAGATGAGATGTCTGACAGATAATGCCAAGGTTTTTTTAAAAGGGACAAAAACAATTTGAATAGATAATTTTCTTATGATGGTACCAGTTTCTTTTTTTCTCTTCTACTCTATTTATTTTACAATTCAGCCTGATTCTTGAAAAATAATATTGTTTTGTTACATTCTTCATACCTTGTTAATTTCTACATTGTTAATGTCTATAACAGTGATGGTGAACCTTTTAGAGACCGAATGCCCAAACTGCAACCCAAAACCCGCTTATGCATCGTCGGGTGCCGGGTGGGTGTGGCCCATTGGCTGGGTGTGGCCCATTGGCTGGGCGTGGCCCATTGGCTGGGCATGGCTGTGGTGGTAACGGCAGACTGGGTGGGACTAAAAGTTTAATCAATCAATTCCAACTTTGCAAGATTTTTTTTCCCGCGAGAAGTTGAAATTGACTGATTGATTGAACCTTTTTTTTTTTTTGCACATGGCAGTGAAGCCTAAAGCGAAAAGGTTTTATAAAACCCAGCTGATGGCCTAGGACTGGGGCAACAGCGCGCGTGCCCACAGAGAGGGTTCTGAGTGCCGCCTCTGGCACCCGTGCCATAGGTTCGCCACCACTGGTCTATAACTTCGAACAATATGTATTTTTGTATACATACGTACAGTACACACACACACACAAAAACTTTGTTTTAGAAACCATGGACAACCATGAATATTTTATATATATAATAACCTCTATTTAATTCAGCCTAAAGCAGTTATTGGCCTTTAATACTGTATTTCATGAAGTGAAATATATTTGCATAATTTTTAACTTCTTGGACTGAAATCTGCCAGGGAGGCTTAAAAAGTAATAACCATCACTTCTTCTCAAGGTATTGATCATTCAATGAATATATTTCAAAGAGCAATAAACATATAAAGAAATGTTCTATCAAGCTATTGTTTTTCTGGCTTTTGAAAAGTGAGGTTTTAGTAGGAAAGGCAAGAGACTGTTGCCATATGATCCCAGCTGCTTTCATGAATTGCTGAAAGATACTAGATTTGCACTCGCCTATCACTCCAAATCAGATGTTTGGAATAAAATCCAAAAACTTCAGACTGAAGTTCAAAGTGCTTAACTTTATTTTTAAGAAATATAGCAAAGCCAATGCATTTTCAAACATCATTTTCTGCTTTTTTGTTTATTGCAGCTAGGCTATCTATATAAATAAAAATGTAAATGTTTGTTTGTTCAAAATCTTAAATCTCCGAAAGTTCTTCACCGATTGCTTTGAAATTTTGACACAACGTTGCATTCGAATACGTGCATGTTTTTATATACCTATATTATATAGATGTCACACCTGTGACAGATAAAAAACATGCTTTTTTGGAAAAACAGCGCCATCTGTTGGACGTAAAAGCAACACACGCTTTTACCAGACTGAGCCACAGCAACGCGTGGCCGGGCACAGCTAGTTATTTAATAAATTTATTCAACCTAGTATCATTTTGAGAATTCACCTCTTTCTGTTTCCAGCACGCAAGAATGTGATCTTAACCATACAGCCTTGCAACCTCAATCAGACAGTATTTACATCATGCAAAGCTATGTATGAAATAGAATAGATTATCAAGTTAATAAATCAGATCCTATACCCTAACCATAAATTATCTTAATTATATATTTGGGGTTTGCTTTATATTTTCAACCTATTTAAAAAAAAAACATTTAAAAATGTGTTTAAGGATCATACAAATGAAATTAGTTTATTATTCTGAGTATATTGGTTTTGTGGGGATGGGAATATTGCTGTTTAGAAGGTTTTAAAATTCTAAATGAGAAACCCCCTCCCCCTTTATGGAAGAAAGGAAGATATTGTGATTAAGGTGTTGAATTAAGACTGGGAATATTCTGGTACAAGCTGAGCCTCAACCATGCAAATTCCATGGGATCATTTGGAACTAGTTACTCTGTTTTACAGAGTTATTCCCATATAAATTGCCTTAAGTTCCTAGAGGAAAAACAGGTTATAATTAATAATAAATATGAGATAGGAAGAGGATACAGCTGATTCACAGAGAATGTTTATCTGTAACATCTTTTCCTGCTTTGAATATTTGGAACTGACAGAAATTGAGTTCCCTGGAAAATCTCAGTATAAATGTCAGGAAAGAGAAAAGGCACTATTGTATTTTATCAAGGACACAAGACAATTTCCCTTAAAAAAACCATCATGAATGTGTGTGTGTGTGTGTGTGTGTGTGTATAAAATAAAAATGGCTCTTTCATAAAGAATAAAACTAAAATTTCATAACAAGATAGAAGAAATATTTTTTTAAAAATTAGATACATATTTTCCTAATCTTAAATGCACTCATTATAGAAGACACTTGATTGCCTCCATAGTTGAATATATCTGTAACCAGTAACCGTTTTAAGCATGCTAATTATTATATTATGGTTCCATTGGAGAAACTACTAGGCAGTACATAGAAATGTAAAAGGCAGTAAAATTTAAAAGGAATATGGACACAAGCATTAGTTGACTCATTACATCCTTTTAATGAATAAATGGAAATATTTAGACTAGCCACCATCCTTCAAGATATTAAGAATTACAAGAAATAGCTAGAAATCCATAGCCTATGCTACTCGTTTTTTTCAGCAATCTCCCTTCCAAGAAAGGATCCTGTATTTGAACTTTATGCATTTAATAATAATAATAATAATGATGATGATGATGATGATGATGATGATGATGATGATGATGATGACGATGACGATGACGATGATGATGATAAAGTTGGAAGGGACCTTGGAGGTCATCTAGTCCAACCCCCTGCTCAGGCAGGAAACCCTATACCATTTCGGACAAATGGCTGTCCAGTTTCTTCTTAAAAACTTCCAGTGTTGGCACGTTCACCGTTTCTGGAGGCAGGTTGTTCCACTGGTTAAGTATTCTAACTGTCAGGAAGTTTCTCCTTAGTTCTAGGTTGCTTCTCTCTTTGGTTAGTTTCCACCCATTGCTTCTTGTCCTGCCTTCAGGCGCCTTGGAAAATAGCTTGACTTTCTCTTCTTTGTGGCAGCCACTGAGATATTGGAACACTGCTATCATGTCCCCCCTCGTCCTTCTCTTCATTAAACTAGACATACCCAATTCCAGCAGCCGTTCCTTATATGTTTTAGCCTCCAGTCCCCTAATCATCTTTGTTGCTCTTCTCTGTACTCTTTCTAGAGTCTCAACATCTTTTTTACATCATGGTGACCAAAACTGGATGCAGTATTCCAAGTGTGGCCTTACCAAGGCATTGTAAAGTGGTATTAATAGTTCACGTGATCTTGATTCTATCCCTCTGTTAATGCAGCCTAGCACTGTGTTGGCTTTTTTGGCAGCTGCAGCACACTGCTGGCTCATATTTAAATGATTGTCCACTAGGACTCCGAGATCCCTCTCACAGTTACTACTATTGAGCAAGGTACCCCCTATACTATACCTGTACATTTGGTTTTTCTTGCCTAAATGTACAACCTTACTTTTTTCACCATTGAATTTCATTGTGTTAGATAGCGCCCAGTGTTCAAGTCTGTCCAGATCCTCCTGTATCCTAAGCCTGTCTTTTGGAGTGTTGGCTATTCCTGCCAGCTTGGTGTCGTCTGCAAATTTGATGAGTTCCCCATCTATCCCCTCGTCCAGATCATTGATGAAGATGTTGAAGAGCACTGGGCCCAGAACAGAGCCCTAGGGCACCCCACTACACACTTCCCTCCATGTAGATGCGGTTCCATTGAGGACCACACGCTGAGTACAGCTGGTCAGCCAGCTACGGATCCATCTGGTGGTGATGCTGTCTAACCCGCATTTTTCTATCTTATCAAGTAGTAGGTTGTGGTCTACTTTGTCAAATGCCTTATTGAGGTCCAAGTAAATTATATCCACAGCATTCCTCTGGTCCACTAATTTTGTCACTTGGTCAAAGAATGCAATAAGATTTGTCTGGCATGATCTGTTTTTGACAAACCCGTGTTGGCTTTTAGTAATGACTTTGTTTGCCTCTAGGTGTTCGCTGATTCGTTGTTTGATTATCTTTTCCAGAATCTTCCCAGGTATTGGGGTCAGGCTGATAGGTCTGTAATTTCCTGGGTCCTTTCCCCCCCCCTTTTTTTGAAGATGGGAACTACGTCAGCTCTTTTCCAGTCCTCTGGTAGTTCCCCAGGTCTCCAGGATCTTTGAAAAATATAGTTCAGTGGTTCTGAGATCACATCTGCCTGTTCCTTAAGAACCTTGG